CTGGCAACGTTGCAAGGCGTTAAACATGGCGCAGTGGTTCGGGTGGCTCCACCAGCTCCAGGCGCAAATCGGCGCAAGCCAACAAATAACAAGATGAGTGATTGAACTGGCGGCAACACACGCAAACAGACACAGACACAGACACAGACACAGACACAGACACAGACACAGACACAGACACAGACACAGACACAGACACAGAAACACACTTGAACTCCCGAGGGAGGTTGCTTATCTTCGAGTACATTTTTCGAGTACAACTTTCGAGTACAGCTTTCGGCTCGCATCACACTCGGCTTCACTCTAGTGAGTTTAACAGGGCCACGACAAGCAACAGCGATTAAAGGGGGGGCCAAAAGCACTTTGCACCACGAGCAGGTACAGGAGCTGGCGTCCCAGTTCCCTTCCCATCTGCAACCTTAGCTTCGTTGCGCACGGTAGGATGCCGTGCGCCCCTGCATGAAGTTCAAACGACTGGTTCCAGGGTAAATCTGGAACTCGGCACACGCACACACACCGGGTAGGTCAGCACGCAATTCAGGAGCTGGGCGTCCTGGCGATCTAGAACGAAGTCTAGATGCCAGGATGTCCTCAGGCGCCGGGGCCCCGCGCTCACAATCACGAAACCTCCGGTGCGGCGCATGTCCAAAGCTGCGAGAGGAAGTCAATTGCGCCGGTAGAGGAAGGGCCGCACGGGATGCGTCCAGTGGGACAGGCGCGTGAGGGTCCAGGTTGGCGTCAGAACACGTTGATACCCTTGCAACGCCAATCCTGAAATTTCCAGACGAAGGTCCACCGCACATAGATGGGGCTGTCTTCATATTCGCCCGGAGTCGCATCATGACTGATCCAATGTTTGCTCCAGGTGCGATATGTGTTGCCATCCAGTGGGGGTGGTTCCTTGTTTCCAATCAAGGATGACAGGCTCATCAGGAACAAAGTGACCCAATCCTCCCCCGCGAAGCGACTGAGTTCAACCCAAGGGTCGACCCTGACTTTGTTTGGGGTTTATATCCAGTTGAATCGCGGTGTCACGGGCTGCGGTGGTTCATCAGGATGATCAAAGTCCATGGTGTCGTCTGGTGAAACACTACGCACCGAAAACAGCTGAACATGAGCATCAAAGCATGGAGGTCAAGACAAGCACATGCAAAGCAACGAACTCAAAGCAAAACCCAATTTTCAAGAGCCGGCAGAGAACTCACACATCCGGTAACGACTCAAAAGTAGGCCGCGTAGGTGCGCTCGGGGTGGTGGTCGCCCGAAATGGCGCATAGCGTGGAGATGAAGTATTGTCAATACCAGACAGCTCTGCGTTGTAAGGTTCAGGACGGCTGCTAGGGCGAGATGCCCCAGCATCATTATTGGAAGGCGCAGTTGAGCGAAGACGCTCGAGGCCAGTGACGACGTCCTCCCAGGTCACTTCAGCGGAGGGATTAGCGTGGATCAGGTTCAAAATGACCGCCGCAGCTTCGTGCGAGATGTTGTCCAGACTGGTGGCAACGTCAGCCGAAGGAGAGGACCAAGCGGTGTGTCCTCGATGTTGATGTTCTGCTTGAGGAGGAGCGACCCGGCCGTACCCTTCAGTGGTCCAATCTCGCCTATGCCATACTGGTTGCCGTTCACCGTGGCGATCATCAGGAGGTTCACACTTCCATTCGCGATGCGCGTGAGGCGGGATGGGATCAGTAATCGTCCCAGTCTCCCAGGGCCCAGGCTCCCAAGTCTTAATCCATTGATGTTCAGGTTGTCAAGGATCTGGGCACCACTCTACCCACGCCATGCCAAAGACTACACTCCAAGCAGTTACGGTCACACTGTCTGGTGATGCGGGAAACCAGGAAAATGATGCATGAGGACACATGAAATGCATGAGAAACCGACAACTGAAACAAGCGGATGAAATGAGTCAATGCAACCTGCACATCAGAACTGCAACGCGCCATACCTTTTCTCCCGTGACAACCATCATTCAGTCAAATCTCACGCATTCCAATCAAACTCTAAGTCAGATAATGTTCAACGAGGTGGCGAGGGTTCTCTCCAGGCACCATCCGAGGCCGATGAAAAATCGGAAGATTGGTCCCGAGCGTGGGGTGGTTGAGGCCGACGTGATGTGGGAGGTAGTAGTCGTTGCCAACCAAGTGTGTTCCAGTCGCAAAAATGCCAGCAGTAGCGCGTGGGCCGCGAAGCTGTTCATCGGGTGAAGTGCCTCCAGTGCCATCCAGAATGTAGTGTGTTTCAAAGATGTAAAACTTCTTCCATTCTCGAAACGTAGATGGAAGGGCGTCAGGTGGTGTGGCCATGGTGGAACTCAGCAGTCTCCAGGAGCCCGGTGTAAATATTCTTATCCACTCTTGAACCGCGTCACCCGGTTCGGCCACGATTTCATACTCAAAGAACCGACCTCCTCCATGGATACATGTCAATCTGTAGGGGATGCGACATGACACAATTCACAAACTTGCGCACTGCAAAACAGCGGAAAGAGGATCCGGCAAGGAATCAACGTCAACATAATGAAAAACGACATCAAGTCATCGAATGCACACAGCACTGCGCTGTTTTCTCCACAGGCCGTAGTGTAATTATCATCGGCCGCAGTGCGCCCAGCATCGGCAGTGAACATGTTCGGGTTTGCGTCTAGCGCATGGTGCAAGGCGTCGTCGATGACCAGGAGGAAGATATTGACATCGATGTCGGCATCGTGTCCAGTTTGTTCTCGGAGACCTGGATCATCTCGTTGAGAAAACTGTGAAAGGTCGACCGCGATGAGTTGACTTGGATTTGCGAGATCTTCGGGGTGCTGATCTGCTGCCGTGAAGTTTAATGCCTCGCTGGTCACGTCTCGGCGATGCGCATGGGGATAGAAGGAGTCGATGTCGAGGAAATGGGCAGTGTTCACGACGTTCTTCAGGTAAGACAGCTGGCGGATGGGGATGTTGAGGAAGGTTCCAAGTGCGCATGATGTCTGACTGTGATTCATCCGTGATGTTATGTCGGCACGTCATCATAGATAATGGAGGTGCTGGTGGTGGTGGTCGTGGCGGAGGAGGCGGTGGAGGGAACGGTGAGCCAAGACGGGAGGCGTCCTCGCGACCATGTAATGATTAATGTAATGTCAGTCTGGGTACTCTGATCCATTGTGCCTGCATAACGAGTACACAAACACAGAAAGTAAAAGGGGGCATGAGCGACTCACTTACGCACCTCAAAATCAATTTTCCACAGCCGATTCAAGATTAGACGGTGATCTTCTGGCACGTCTTCCAGGCTTGCTTCACTTCAGCAGTCTCCTTCGTGAGAAACTTGGCGATGGACTTGTACGTTGGGCGCGAATCCTTGTCCGTCTTGGGGCGAACCGGTTCATCAAGTCTAGTCTGCGTCCAAGCCTGGAACGGATGCGGATAGTCAGTGCGCATGGCCACATGAAATGAGTCAAGCAGGCACGAAGGACCGTGCTGCACTCGAGGGGGAGGACGTACTGATGCGGCTTCTGGATCTGGAGATATGGAGTTGGAAGACGATGAAACCGAGGACGCCGGCGGTGGAGAGGCACGAGGAGGCGCAGTGGAGAGTAGGTCAGCATCACCACGACGGTCGGAAACTGTACTTGGCTCAGGTGCAGAATGGCGAGGAAGTCGTCGATTAGAGGGTGGAATCATATACCACGTCGAGGATGTGTGCATGGGACGAAGTCGAACGGGAGCACGTGATCGCACACGTGCTGAATGAGGGGACGGGGAGTCCGCCACCAAGCGTAGAGGAGAGCCATGGCGAGAGTTGCGTGGAGGTGGCAGGCGGTCAATGATGTTTGTGCTGGATGTGTTGGTACTCCGCGAGGCCATGATGGCAACGGTCACCGATGACACCAGCGTCTGCAACGTCGCCAGGAGATCTGCTACAAACACATCAGACAGATGCATGACGGATACAAAGAAACTCACTATCAAGTCCAGCACGAAATGGCTAACAAGAGACAGCGGTCAAGCAAGAAAAGCAACTACAATGCGCGACCCAGGAATCATTTTCCACAGGCCATGTGATCAGCGTCCACGAGCTAACCCTGAAGATCGGCGTCGCCTTAATTTCGGGCGGGCCGCTTTTGGGAACATAGTGAGTTGAGTGCCTGCGTCTGGATCTTGATCTATAGGTCCGCCGGCCTCGGCAAGAGCGTCCCCTGCGATTCCTTTCACGTGACGCGTCTGGTGAAACACCTGTGGAGTCAGCGTGGCAGCTGTAAACGTAGTCATCGGGGGATTGGCCTTGGTGGCGTGTGACGAGTGGGCCTTCGCTGTGCATATTGAAGCAGGAGGAGGCAGTGGTTCAGGAGGTGGAGGCGGCGGTGGTAGTTCTGAAGGTGCAGCATGGGGTGGTACGTGTAGTAGAGGAGGTGGCGAGTTCTGCGTCATAGGCGGAGGGGCACGAGGCAAATGAGGAGGTGGCGGGTTGGCGGGTTGGCGAAGAATCCGAGCAAGCATGGTTTGAGCTGCCAGAGCTGAGGTCTCGAGGCGACGTTGTCCGTCTAAGATTATGCTGATCCGAGATGTCAGAGACGAAAGTTGCGCTCGGCATTCCCGAAGTAGATCACCATGATCCATGTCGATGTGAGCGGGTCCATGTATCTAAGAATTAGCCAAGCAGCTGCGGAATAGCAGCAGCCTATGCAATATGGAAATGCAAGAACAACCAAGCAGGTCAAATCATGAGTGCGCACAACCAACACTTGAACAGCAACATGCCCGAACACATCGGTTCGGAAGACTCAGCAACGTCATAACTGAAGTGCCATGAAAGAGAGCTAATTGTACAAAAGCACTGCTGCGCTACCAGTCAGGAGGTGCTAGAGAGGTCAATGGGAACATCGCTACTAAAAGATGGCCACGTACGCAGGGGCCGCCAACGTGCTCCGAAGCTTCAAACCTTCCCTGGTATGCACGAGGTCATGGAAATGTGCAGCAGCGACGTCGGCGAGGACACCGCCTCTGGAGACCAAAACG